CTCATACTTCCAGTGCTTCGCAAAATCAACAGGATTTGATCCATTATTCCACCATAATATCGAGATCAATGCATTGATGTTATGCTCGAGGAGAGATGCAGCATGAGGTTTGTAATGGATGATAAACCGCCTTCTAGCAGAGACACCTAACTCTCTCTCTCTCTCTCTCTCTCTCTCTCTCTCTCTCTCTCTCTCTCACACACACACACACACACACACACACACACACACACACACACATACATACACACACACAATCAGTTTTATATATGTTGTTTTTTCTTCTGTTGTCTGTCTTTCCCTTGATTTTTTCTGAAGTTTTTTTTGTGTGCCCAACTGAGCACCCTTAAGTAGTGCCAAACAGTTGGTGGTCCCTCGTTTGGAGTGCCTACTACACTCTTATGTGGGCTGCTCGGTTCGGGATGCCTGTGTTGCCTGTCGGTGATGACGGATGTTCATCGGATTGACTCCCTGGCTCAGTGGGTGGTGGGAACCAACAGTCTGCGGGGTTCAATCGTGATGTGAGTAGGTCATGTGCTGCTTTCCTTTGTGTTGGATGTGTGGACGTCCTCGTCTGCGCTCCACCGCGGCCTTGCTGCCTGTCCCGCTTGCTTCGCGTGTGGTTCTTTGCGGGTTGATGTGTTCGATGTGTGGTGTGGCCGTGTTGTTGGTGTTGCTTTGCGCTTCGCTGCTCCGCTGCCGTGCTGCTCATCCGTTGACCGTGCCTTCCGTGCTTGTGTGCCCTGTAGGTTGGTTGCCTTGTTGTTGGTGCCTTGTGCTCCGCTCCATGGTTGCCCAGCTGCTGGTTCACTCGCCCTGTCGTCCCCTGCAATGCTGTTGCCTTGCTTATGTTGCCTTGTGCTTCACTACACGGCTGCCGTGCTGCGTGCCATGTCGTTTCTTGCAGTCGTTTTTGGCGTTGTGCAGCCGTGTTGCCTCTACTGTGTTGCCTGGTGCTTCACAGGGTTGCTGCCCGCTGCTATGTTCCTCTTGGGGACAGTCTGCCTTCAACAAGGGTCAAAGAGTTCATGACCCAAACCATCAAATACGGGGATTCCGCAGATTGTCGAGGGTTCAGCCTCCTGATGAGTCGGTGCAACTCCGACGAAACAATCTTTCATCTTTTGCTTTTTTTCACTTTGTTTTTTTTGTGCTGTTTGTTCTTTTGTCTGCCTTGTTGCCTTGTTGCGGCCGCCTCATTCTTCTGCCTAGTGCTGTTTGTCTGCCCGCTTGCCTCCCCCTTGCTCTCCACCCTTTGTTCTCTGCTGCGGTGTGTCATCCAAGTACCGTGTTGTGTTCTGATCTCAGCCTTGCCATTTTGTTTGTCTTGTTGTACTTGTCTTACCGCTGGTCGGTTCGTTTTTCGTTTTATGACTATTGAAAGTTGGGCTTTATAAGCATTATTTTCTATGGGCATCCCTGGCTGCGGGCTCTTTCCCAGTGTTGTTTATAAGCACACTCTTCAACACAACAAGCTGTAACGCGGTCACAGAAGCCACGCAATGCATATAACACACACACACACACACACACACACAAAATCAGTTTTATGTTTGTCTGTTTTCCTGTTGTCGTTTGTCCTCCCCCTGATCC